GGCTGTGTCCACACGCTGTGAGGAGTGACGTCATTGCCATTCCCACTTGCAGCGGGAAATGGAGTGTGCTTAGTTAACTTGCCTCAGGCCTCCCAGAGAGAGGAAAGTGGTCATGGAGTAGCAGTGACCCTGTGAGACACCCAGGGACCTTGCTGCGGAGTCCTCACTAACACAGCGTCTGAGACACAGAGGTGTAGTCACCCGTTTTACCCATGAGGACACTGAGGCTGGACACTGAACAGCCACAGCCACGGAGGCAGTAAAGGGCAGCATGGGTCAGGATCCGCATGGTCCTCTGGGGGTGCTCCGGGGCCTGGTGTAGGCGCCACGGAGGGGCTGACCAGAGGAGAGAGGAGTGGCACCCGAGCTGGGAGACTTGGGACATCACAGGTCACTCACATTGCCCCCAAGCCGACCTCCCTTTCTCGCCTACTTCCAAAAGAGCTGGGGCAGGTCCTCTGCTGCTTCTTTTGGGGGTGGGGTAGCTTGGGAGGGGGCAGGAGTCTGATGCGAGGGGGGCCCAGAGAGTGGGGGGAGATCTTCCAAGTGACCGGCTACACGGAGCTCCATGTTCCCAGAAGTGAAGGAGGCTCTGAGCAGCTGTGGGCACCCGTGGGGGGCGCCTGTGAGGCAGGGTCCATCCTCATGGCAGACCCCTCTCCTGCTGCGCAGGCTGGTCTGCACCGTGGCAGAGCAAGCCCACACCACGGCGGCGGGGTGCTAGGGGAGCTCGTCGCCAGCCATAGTGTCAGGTGTGTGTCAGGCTTGTTCATTCTCAGGAGACCCTGTCCGAGATGCTGGGTTTTTGTTTTTGTTTTTGTTTTTTTCAGTTGTAAAGCTGTTCCAGAGAGCTTTGGGTGCTGTGATCAAAGATGCAGGCTCTCAGGGCTGGCTGGCCCGTTTGTAAGGCCCCGCGCTGGCACCTGGCTTTGGCCTGAGAAAGACTGTGAGAGGCCTGCCTGTGGGTGACAGGGCAACACAGAGCCAGGACCAGTGGGCTGCCAGGGTGGGCAAGGCCCAAGCCCTGGCCCTGGGCAGACCACCCAGGACAGAGGGGCCTCTGTGGCCTCCAGGGCCCCCAGCCAGGGCGGGGGGCACAGACTGAGGTTCTGGAGCACCAAAGCTGCACCCCAGCACCCAGGGGGCGGGTGCCACCCACTTCCTTAATGGCACCTGGGGTGCCAGGACCTTGTCCTTCTCTCCACCTTCATACCAGGGTTCAGCGTCACAAGCCTGAGCTGAGAAGACCGTAGACACAGACACCCCGCCGGAGGAAACCCTGCTGAGGTGCATCTTCCCAATTTTGCATAGCGCAGGGCTGTTGAGGAAGGGAGGTGGTAAAGTCTGGCTGGGTTAAAGGGAGGTGGCGTCTGCCCAGGCACGGTGGCTGTCCCTAACAGCAGCTGCCAGCCTTCCAAGCACCCGTGAGACCTTCCAGCCCCTTCCTTACATGCCTATGTCAAAAAGCAAACATTTCAAATGCCTGGGAGCCCAGGCCATGGAAGCAAGAGGCAGACAGGGGACGCTCCTGGAAGTTTGGGAAAGCATTTCAAGTATGTGGTACAAGAAGCCACTCACTGGGGCAGGGCGGGTGCTCCCCAGCTCTGACCCCAGGCCCCAGCTGGCCCCGCCTGGCTGCATCTAGGACATAAAATCTCTGCGAGACGGTCAGACAGGAGGGTATGTCCAGGGGACCCACAGGGACGCAGGCTGGCCGAGGGCTGGCTGGAGTCTGAGACCCACCCTCCTCAAGCCCAGCTTGCCTGTTCACCTAGAGTGTCTTCTAGGTCGCCTGCACCCGCCTCAGGTTTGCATTCCCTTCAGCCACCTTGCCCAGTGCCCACTCCCCCTCCTGTGGATGGCGGAGGAGAGGGTTGCCCAGGGAAGCCAGGGCTCCTTTGCAGGGGTAGCTCCCTGTGCCCCTGCAAGTCCCTCCAGACTGGCACCACGACCTGGGGCTGCTGTGGGGCAAAGGGCAGGAGACTGACCAGGAAAGATCTGTGAGCCCAGCATGGCCGTCCCCAGGACTGCGTTTCTCTTCCCTCTGAGGGTAGCTTTCCCGATCTCCCTTCTCAATGGCAGGAGAGGGCAGCCAGCTAAGCAGGCCCCTCCTGGGAGGAGAGTGCAGGTCTGCCCCCTTCACAGACAGAAAGGCCGAGGCAGCGGGCCCAGTGGTTCTGTGCAGAAAGATGTTCGACCATCCTGGGGCACAAGTCACTGTCCACTTTGTATCTGTGGGGACAGGCCAGCTGAGCCAGAGCAGTCACAGGCTCCTGGCTACAGTCTTCAGCCTGTGCTGGGGAGGCCAGTGCGTGGTGGATACGCAGCCTCGCTTCCCCCAAACTGTGAGCTGGGGTGCAGCCTTGAGGCCAGTGGGACACAGGGCTCACTCCACAGGAATGCTGGGGTGCTCTTTGAAATCTGCCTAGTGGCATCTTCTTACTGGTTGGGAAGGAACAAGGTTACGGAAAAGAGTTTCTGGAAAACGACATTTTTTAGCTGGAAGAGCCGCCCTGGCTTAAGCCCGGAAACCTGGGCTCGGTCCTTTCCGTCCCTGTCTCTTTCTCCCTTTTCCCTTTTCCCTTTTCGAGCCCCCAGGTCGAGCAGTTAAAGGAAGGTACCGGAGCAGAGAGTGGATGGAGCCCAGCCTGGGCCCAGCCCGGTATGTAGTATTGGCAGCCAACAGCCCGCAGGGGAGACCGCTAAGCCTGGAGAGAGTGGGCCGCCACTGCTGCCTCACGCCGCAGGGTCTTCCTCTCTGCTGAGGGAGCAACAGACCCCCGAGGCTGCTCAGCCCCGAGGCCCAAGGTCCACAGAGGGCTGAGCCCAGATCTTAGCGGCACACAGCACCAGTCCCTAGGGCTTCAGATCGAGGGAAGCTTGCCGTCCGGGATGGCCAAAGCGCGGTCCTGCACGCCCCAGAGTCTGGGTCTCCACTTTGTTCCTTAAGCCAGGATAAAGCCCCAAATGCACCCTCTCAGCTGCCTGCTTTCCCAAGGCAACCGAAGGACCCCTCACCTTGGCCTCCACGGGGGAAGGTGGGCTTTCTCTAGTCGCCTACTCCGATCAGCTTACCTGCACACACTAGGGCACTTCTTTAAGAAGTCTTCCTAAAGGGAGGGAAGCCCGGCGGGATTGGAAAGAACTCAAGATTGAGATCCGCTTCACCCCACTACTGCTCCCACTCCTTTATTTCGCGCTCTCAGGCCTCCTCTCTAACGGGGTGCCAAGGTGCTGGACTTTGAGATGAGGTCAAGCTTTCAGGAAGGCGTCTTTGCAACATCTGGGGAAGGGACGCCAGCTTGCTTGGCGTCTAGAATACACTCCTCTTGTCCTGGGGCAAACAGCACGGAGAGCCAGAGCGAAATGAAACTGGAGCAGCGGCGCCAGTGAGGGCTCGGCCACCAGATTTGGCAGCTTGGAAAAGTCCGCTTCGCTTCCTCTGCCTTCTCACTCAACCAAACTGACCCTGCTCTGGGTCCTGCGGGAGGGCCAGGACCAGGCCCTGCACCTGAGCAAAGGGGTGAACCTCGGCCTTGGAGTCCAGCCTGCGCCACCCCTGAGCCCCAGTGAAAGAGTCTGTACTGCATGCATGGGGGACCGCAATTCTACTGCCACGCAGAGTTGAGATGAAATGACGCCTGAAACCCTACTGCCACCCAGGGTACACTGAGCTCCACCGTGTCCAGCAAAATCACCCTAGGCAAAACCCTCAGCGCCAGAATGGTAACTTCAGAAGAGCTTCACCAGGGCAGGGCGCAGTTCACCTGCTGTGAAACCCCAGCTCCGAGGCCCAGGATCCATGGACGTCAGTAGGGGCTGCAGACAGAAGGGGGCAGAAAACGCCCCAGCACCTTTCACTTAGGCTAAGTAGCCACGAGAATAAAGCAGACAAGGCAACCTGGTGGAAAGGGAAGAGAATCTCCCCGTTCTCTAACTTCCTGAAAAAGTCTGTACACTTGGGACTCTAAAAACAATAGAAATCATTTCTGAAGAGCAACACGGTTTTAAGGTTTTTCACCACGACGAGGGTGAATTCTGAGAAGCCGAGTGGAAACCTGCCGCTGTCTGAAATGTGCCCCGATCTAGCCACTGATCTACCCCGGCCTCCAGGCCCTGTGCACACGGCTGGGGTAGCTCGCGATTCTCTAGCTCTGTGTAACCAAAGGACTTAGACATTAAACAGCAGGGAGTCAGTCCTGCACCTTCCCATGCCCAGTTCCACTCCTTCTCTGGAAGACCATTCAGGTGTGCACGGCGGTCCAGTCCGCATTATAGGAAATCGAAGGAGAGCCGGCTGCAGTGAGCGAAGGGAAATGCTTACCCTTCCCCACCTTCACCTCGAGCTGGGGACAGCTGGACGTTGAGATAGATGGCAAGGCTTGTCTTGACAATTGGCATGTTTCTACGTTTAACAAAATGCATTACGGCAAGTGACCAGCCCACGGCCTTTCAGATCCGTTCAGATCCGTCCAACCTCCCACCCCAAATGGGTCGGTTTGCCTCAAGGGGGAAAAAATCCCAGAGTGGGATTTAAAATTTAATTGAAAGCCTTTTTCTGTCACTAGGCTAGACAGCAGGGGGGCGCCTGTCCCTGGATCACCTTCACGCCCACATGCATACCCACCTGCGTGACAAAAGCGACCAGCCTCAACCCTCTGGGTTTGCAAACATGCCTTGTTTTTTGAAAAATGCAAGAACACAAACACAATGTCCAAACTTTGGGCAGGGAAACAGCACGGGTTTATTTTAAGGCAAGTACAACAGTGGAGACCACATGGGGCAGACACAAGAGGTGAACATTTTCCAAGTTTTCTTTTTCTTTTAGGAACACTCAGGGTGGAATCCTCTATACAAAACCATCCCATTTTGTAAATAGAAGGTATCAGATACTTGACTTCTTTATCCACCACCAACAAAAAAATAAATTACTTTCTTGCTTTGTAAAAGACCTACAACTGGGAAAAGAATTATGTCTCAAAATTGTACAAGAAAAAAATCCCACCTAGGTCTCATGGGTGTGATTTGGCAGGTAGAAATGGCTGGGCAAGATGAGAGATTATCCAGTGACCTCAACTTTAAATATTATATTAATGGCTCTGAACGACAACAACAAATAGCCCAATTACAAGTCAGTACATCTGTACAGCATGGTTAGAGAAATGCAAAATTACACACAGCGTATACGTCACCTGCAGGGACCCCCCCAGACCTAGGCCTATTGGGGTCTCTACAGAGAGTCAGAAGGTTGCTATGGGATTTTTCCATAGCTTAAGTTTCGAAACCCCA